AGCTTTATCCTCCCAGGAACCCTGTCCTGATTCTCAGTGCCTCTTCTGTGCCTCCTTTTCCCATAGCAGTGCTCACCCTGCACCACTTAGTGGTCTGTGAGCTCCTTGAGGGCAGGGAGTGAGTGAATCTGTGCAGCCAGTCCTGTGACTCAGCATGGCCTGTGTGCACCCAGCACACAGAAATGTCAGTGTGTGTTTGCTGAATGAATGAGTGCATGAATAAATGGTCCTCAAAGAGTTTCCTTGGGCCCCTTCCCTCTTGAGGGTGGCCCTGGCCCAGGCCCTACTTCCTGCCCTGTACTGTTGAATTCCCAGACAACTGCAGCTAACTGGATCAAGTCAGCCTCAGGTCATCGCCCTGGGTAAGCTCTCACTAGGTGTCCTAAGTGATCTGAGCCACTCTTCCACTAGCCGCTCTGCCAAGCAGATATTTGACTACCTTTGAGCCCAGGCAGCAGGCTTATCCTTTGTTAGGTGCTTGCCCCACTCACCTTCCTGAGGTATTTAAGCTGCTGCACATCTCCCCTTATAGTCTTGGCAATATAAAAATATTTCCAAGATTAAGAATATTAATGCCTGCAGAGCCTGGGTGGCTCAATTGGTCAAGCATTCGATTTCAGCTCAGGTCAAGATCTCACAGTTCGTGGGTTTGAGCCCCGTGTCAGGCTCACTGAATCCACAGCCTGCTTTGGATTCAGTGTCTCCCTCTCTCTCTCTGCCCCTCCCCTGCTCATGCTTTGTCTCTATCTCAAAAATAAACATTAAAAAAAATTTTAAGAATATTAATGCCCAAGGGGCATCTAGGTGACTCCTTCAGTTAAGTGTCTGACTCTTCTTGATTTCGGCTCAGGTCACGATCTCATGGTTCATGAGACTTAGCCCCATGTTGGGCTCTGCACTGACAGCTCAGAGCCTGCTTGAAATTCTCTCTCCCTCTCTCTCTGCCCCTTGCTCTCTTCACTTCTCTCTCTTTCTCTCAAAAATAAACTTAAAAAAAAAAAAATGTTAATGCCCAAAACAGAAGAGGGTCATCTTGTCACAAGCTGATGACCTTGCAGGAACATAAAAACAGGTTAGACTTCTAGAGTTTGGAGGTGAGGAAAACCTACTTTAGAGGCCTCCGTTGTGGGCACAAGACTGTCCCCTCCTGGCCCCCTCCTGGCCCCCTCCCAGCCCCTTACCTCTATACCATAACAGTTTCAGGCTGGCCTCATTAGTTCAGTGAGAGGTGTCAGAAGGTGATGACCTAGGTGGCCCCAGGGCTTCAAGCCAAGGACTCTCGTAAGGGCCATGTTGTCATCAGCCTCACCCTGCTACTGTCTCCTTCTGAACTCCTGGCCTGATAAAAGCCCCAGATTTGGGCACCTGGGTGGTTCAGTTAGTTAAGCATCTGACTTTGGCTCAGGTTATGATCTCACAGTTCATGAATTTGAATTCCTCATCAGATGAGCACAAGCCCTGCTTCTCTCTCTCCTCTCTCTCTCTGCCCCTCCTGGGATTCTCTCTCTCTCTCTCTCTCTCTCTCTCTCTGCCTTTGCTCACTTGCGCCCTCTCTCTCTCTTAAGAAAGAGGGAAAAAAGCCCCAGATCTGTCTCTTAGCTTCTGCCCCATTTCCTCATTTTCTGCTTGTAGTACTGACTTTAAACAGATCAGGAGGTTGCACTGACTCTTATGAAGGTTTCAAGGGCTAGAAATAGAGCCTGGGCTGGAAGCCAGTAACTGCCATACCACTGACTTGGTGAACTGAAACAAGTGTCCTCCCCAATCTGGATCTCTTTTTCTTTGTTGTGGTGGACCAGTTACAACAAGCTAGGCTCCTGAATCCTCAGTAAACAGGATCAGTAGTCAGTCAGAGTCTGTGGAGTGAATGACACTTGCTTTCATCAAGTGCGCTGGTTCCTTTGTCATGTGTGCCATAGATTGTACGGTATACACCTTTTCACCATTGGGTCATCCAGGAAACTAGCATCCTTGCCTTCCCTTCAAGAAGAGGAGGTATTCGAAATGTAAAGCATATACAAAGATGAGGATGTAAAGCTCAGTCCTCACAGTAAACAAAGGTAGTGTCCATTATCACCCCTAGTAAGGGAACCTCAAGTTCAAAGAAACTAAGCACTTGCCACAGGCACACAACCAGTGAGCAAAGTTAAGACTAGAACAGGTCTCTCTAATTCCAAAACCCACTTTGTTATTTTCAGAAGACTGTGGCTCCTTGAGATTGGAACAGGGATTGGGGGGTAGAGAATGGCAGAGGTAAGACCAGAGAGAGCAGGGACCCGTTTTTACAGAGCCTTTACCTTTAAGTCATATTGAAGTGCATAGCTTTGAACCTGAGGGCAGGGGGAGCCACTGAAGGGATTTAAAGAGACAAGGATGTGATCAGATTTGTGTAAGAAAGATCATTTGTGCTACAAGAGAATGGATTAGAGGGGGAAGAAAGAGGACAGGCTGTGTAAAAGCAAGAGATGAAGGGGTCTGCAATGGGGGGTGGCTGCCAGAAGGAAGGGAAGCAGACAGAATAAGAAGACAAAATCCACACTTTATACTTGGGATTTGGGGAGAGAGAGGGCAAAGTGTCAGCCCTGATTTTCAGATTTCTTTGGGGGTTCTTGGGGTGCTGTTCACTGGAATAGTGAAGACATGTGGGGAAGGAAATTCATCCATTTACTGAACATTTTGAGTTTGTATGGATATCTAGAAAGAGATGTTCCAGAACTCAGGAGAGGTGCAGGCTGGAGATGGCGATCTTCAGGGCTGGATGAAGCCAGCCAGTGTGTCCAGTGTGGAGAGGTCAAGGACAGACTGGGGCCTGGCACAGGTGGGAGGTTAGTGCTTGCCCACTGGATGGCTAGTGGCCTGGGGGGAGGGGCTGGGCACATTCACTTGGGCCAGGGGAGGCAGATTGAGCAATTTGTCCAGCAATGAGGGAGGAGCCAGATGAAGTCAATAGAAAACTAATTTTCTTTTCTGCTGGAAGAAATGAGGTGTGTGGCCGCTGGGTAATTGCAGATAACGAGGGGACTTATTCTTAATATGCACAGCGGTCGTGGTCCCCAGAGTGCAGGAGACAGGAAGGATTGGAGGTGCCCTGACAAGGCCAGACTTCTTTGGGAAGAAAATCACCCTATTGTAGCCCTTTTGACGACAGTACCATCATAGCCTCTGGACCCGATCATAAACCCTCCTGGTCCTAGGGCCCTTTCTGCCCTGTCTCCACCCTGCCCCTTCTACACAGATCTTCCTGCCCCCTTCCCCTTCTGTCAGCAGCTTCACTCCTCCTGTCCAAGCCCCTCCCTCCACCCTTTACCCATGCACACCCCCACCCCCCACCCAGCACAGGCATACACACTAAGGGAGACAAATGACAGGGCCTCAGCTGAGCGGGGCGCGTGTCCGGCCCATAAACCACGGGGATGGGTCACGTCTGGAGTTGCCATGGCCGCCACTATCCACCCATCCGTCTTCCCACTGTCCTGCCTCAGACCAGCCCTCATGGTTTCCTGAATCCCCGGAGGAAAAAGGTGTCCCCAAATCTGAGGCCTATGTCACCTTTCCATGCCCACATCCCCCATGGGTACATTCATGTTGAGGTCTTCTGTGACAGGACCCTGTGTGACATGTCTGCTCTAAACAGGGCCTGCAGAGTCGTGTTCTGACTAATGACACAGGCCCTGGGCTGACCAACACTCCTATTCCCACCACAGCCCTTTCCTAGCTCTTTTGGGCCCCATTTCCTAGTCTAAGGTTTCTAGCCAAGGCAGGCCGGGGTTGCTCAATGGAAGGGGTTTGCCCTTGACAGATGCTGAGGTCTCCTGACCCCACCTTGACCTTACCACAGCCCCACACCTGATTTTGACATCAAAGTATAATGCTTCTGCAATCACAGCATCGATCCCATGAGGGCTGGTAGCGGCTGAGGTCCTGGTTATGGCCCAGAAGCATATATGGGAGGTGGGAGAGGGATGAGGGGAGAGGTAGGTGAAAAGATGGGGAGCTGGCTGCTGCTCTGAGCAGTGGAACAGAAAAACCTAGTGCACTTGGGCCATTTCTGTCCTTGGCTTCCTGTAGAGGGACAAGTGTTAGGCAGCTGCACCTCCTGCTGGTGGCATTAAAACAAGTCCTGGCCCGTGTCCATGATCCTGAAGCCCTAGAGTACCTGCTCCTGCAGCTGCCACGGTTCTAGGAGTTTTGAGCATGGAGTTCTCATAGGGACCAGTACTGGAGAAACTGCCGTGATAGGGTCTGGCAGGTGCCGACATATTTAGATATAGCCAGAGGCAGTGCTTAGGCTGAGCACACAGGCATGTCTAGTAGAAGATTGCTGGCCAGGGTGTCAAAAGACCACACACCTGGCCCTCTCCACCGGTCTGGGGCTGCATGGGAGCACGTGCCCAGGCAGATTGCACACAAGCCTGGGGCCCAGAGCAGGTTCCCCAGGGCCCCAGCTCAAAAGTGCCGAGGCTTGTGCCTTGTTACCAGTGATTATGGCCTGGGCCACATCTCTCACACACACGCAAGTGCCGGCAAAGTCACCCTGGCCGTGGGTGTGATGAATGGCCGCACAGTAATGAAATGGAGACATCAAGGCGGGTGGCGGGAAGACGGAGTGTGGCGGACGGGCCGTCCCCACGCGGCGGCAACAAGAAGGATCGCCCAGCGGCCGGGGGCCGTCAAGGGAGAAATTACACATTTACTCTGCCTTTTTCTTACTGCGACGGCGCCCATACATCACCGCTGGGGCCGGGGCGGGACACGCCGGCCAATTTCCAGCATGAATTATGGGACTGAGCAGCATTGAGACCAGGCTTCCTGCCGGCCCAGCATCACCCACCCCAACCTGAGGCTGGAGATGCTGCCACCAGGGGACAGGACCCCCTGGTTTAGAGCCTAAGGCTCGAGTCTGACCCTGCTCCCCACCCCCACCCATGGAGGAACACATATGGGCACAGAGGGAAATCACCTGGGGGGGGGCCCGTCTAAATGTCTTTTCTTCTTCTTAGATGACTGCAAGAACATTGCCAACATCATGAAGACACTTGCATATCAAGGCTTCATCTTCAAGCAGACATCAAAGCCGTTCTGATTGGCCGAGTGTGGGATGGGGCAGGACAGGGTAGCTGCTTGGCCCAGCCCAGAACCCTCCTTTCCCTCACCAGAGGGGAAAAGGGAGAGTGGCACAGCTCTACATCCAGAGTGTCCCCCAGCCTGCCCTGTGGGCTTGTGCCCAGGGTAAGGGCTTGGCCACTTGGCCCCTCTGGAGCAGACACTTTGTGGTCCCCACCCCAACCCTCCCAACCTCAGCCCAGTATTAGCCCCTTCCATTGTGGGCCTGGGCTAGGGGGACCCAGGCACTCACCGCCTCCTCCCTGGTACACAGGCTTCTGCCGGGGCCACTAAGCCCCCCTGTGCCCCCTCCCATCTGTAGTGCATGGTGTGTGGTGCCCTCAGGGCTCCAGGACAGATCAGGCCCCACCTTGTGTCTACCCCCATCCCCGCTGTGAACGTGCCACTGAATAAAGTCGGGGAAATGAGGCTCTGGGTGTGTGTGTCGGGGGCGGGGGGTGCGGAGAGACTGGGTGGTGCTGTGCCTGATGCCATCAAGATAATGTACAAAGGTTAGGGCATGTTCTGGGCTGCTCTACTCAAGGCCACCAGTGGGGCTGGCAACCACTTGAGCACCTGTGAGACCCTCACTGAATAGTCACAGGCTACAGGGGCTGTCTGAGCACAAGACAGTGTTCAAAGTTGCTGGTATCCAAGGCCACTGCTGTGTGTGAACCATCTTGAGTACAGAACCAAGTACAGATGTTTGGGTAAAACTGTAGTGGTTAGAGGGCTGCTAAGGGCCTCAACGCTGGCAAGCCCCAATGCCACTCTGTGGAGTGAGTGAGGTGACCCCTCCTGCCCACCCTCCCAACCAGGGGCATCACAAGTGGTGGGAAGGAAAAGGAAGCACCGGTCCAACTGAGCAGCTCTATTTACACAGCAGCATCACCCACACCCCGTGTGGCCTCTCATGGCTTCTTGGCTTTCTTCACAGAAGAGGAGCTGGAGGCCGATTCCCGTCGCTTCCTCTGAGAAGATACAGAAGGTGTTGGGGTCAATGGCCCCCAAGGCTCTATTCAAGCTTGGTGAGTGTGTTTCACACTCTCAGGGAAGGTGATGCCCACTGGCCGGCCACCCACTCCTACCCTCAGTCTCAGAACCCATCAGAGTAACCATTCCCATTGCGGGCACTAGAGGGAGCAGGTCTGTACATGTTCGTGTGTTTGCTCACGTGCAGGGCCTGTTCATGCTCCCCACTGCCCACCAAGGCTCTTACCGAATTGGGCGTGAGGGGTGCGCCCACCACATCAATGATGGTGTCCTTGGTGGGGTCGGGGCCAAGACCAGGTTCAGGTACTGCTGGCTCAGCAGAGGCTGGGGCCGGGCCTGATGCTGGCGTGGCAGGGCCCCCCAGCACGCCAGCCCGGGCCAGGGCCTCATGCCGGTGCCTCAGCATCTGGAGCTCGTACTCGCAGTTGGCGCAGGCCTGCTTGAGCTCATAGAGCAGTACCAGGTCACTCCGCAGCTCGTTGAACATGTGCACCAGCTCCTCCGTGGGTGTCGGACTCAGCTCTGCAGGCGGTAGGTGGAAGGCACAGGCAGAGCCAGTGTGTGCAGGAAGGCCAGCCACAGGAAGTGCCCTCCCCTGCCCAGCCTTGACTGGCAGCCTTGGGTTACGGGTAGGTCCTGCGGGCCCAGCCCCCACTCACCCACACCGAGCTCCAGCAGCATCTGCTCCAGGGCCTTGATCTTCTTCTGTCCCACAGAGCTTGGCAGCTTCATCTGCAATGACCCAGACTGCTAAGCCCTCTCCCCCACAAGTTGCTGAGGATTGGGGGACCAGAGGCAAAGGGGAGTGGAAGAGAAGTTAACCCCAGGAAGGCAGCTCTGCATCAGAAAAGGAAATAGCCCGCAAGTGGAATATAGCAAGAGCACAAGCGCTTTGACCTCAGCCTGGCCACATCCCCGCAATCTCCCTCTCTCTGCAGCACATGGTACAACCCCACCTGGTGCTCCAGCCCAATGGCTGCGGCAGGCAGGCTTCAGAGAGCCCAGGGCCCAAGCCCAGCAATGGAAGTGGCACGTACCCGCTGGCTCCGCAGTGTGACGCCTGCGGACTTGAAGTCCGGAAACTTGATGCCTGCGGTCTCAGGAACAGCCTGGGGAGAAGAAGTCATGGAGACCGAGGCGTGGCAGGGAGAGAGCCCAGTGTTAGTCCCAGCATGCTGCTAGCCCTGGGTGCTCTCAGGGCCCTCCACCCTGAGCCGGACTGACTCCATCTCCATACCGGCTTCTCAGCCTCCTTTTTCTGGGGTAGCTTCTTCTTGGGGGCCTTGCGTTCCGTGCGCCGCTGCTCTGCAGTGGTGTCTGCTGCTGTTATCAGCTTCTGCAGGTCCTGGCTACGCTTCTCTCGCTCCTTCTTCCGGGCTTCGATCTTACGTAGCTCCTGCAGCAGATACTCCTCCTCTGCCACCTGGGAAAGCAAGATGCCGTGAAGTGTGTGCAGGTGCCCAGGGGAGTAGCTATAAAAGCAGGGTCAGAGTCTAGTGAGGGAGGACTAGGCAGGGAGGCAGGGAACCTGCAGGGGAGGGAAATGAGGGCATGCAGGATGGAGGCAAAGGGCTGCAGGACATGGACGAGGGGCAGTGAAGCTCAGGGCCGACCTGCTCAGGGGTCCGGTTGTACAGGCGCTCTAGCTGTTCCTTCCTCCGTCGCTCATGCCCAGCATCAAATACTGGTATCTTGAGGTCTGTGCCTGGCACTGCCCGCACGTTAGCAAGCTTGGCACAGATGTGGTAGTACCGCTCCTTCAAGTCCTCCACAGAACGCTTCTGAGGGTAAAGACATGGCAGGGAGGATGAACACCGAGAAGCATATGGAAGGGGTAGCATAAAGGCAGTGGGCCTCCTAGGCCCAGGGACTGGGCACACATGCAAATGCATGACACCAGCTCACCTTGAACTGCTGGTGGTCATACCGGTCATGGATAACTACAAAACGCAAGTCAAACCGGCGGCTGAGGTCAAAGAGGTGGTCCGTTTCTGCCTTAGTCCACGCATCATCATGAAGGTAGAGCTGGTACTCCTGCTCTGAATACACAGGAACCTGCACAGTCTACTGGCACAGAGGGACAGAGTGGGGACACGTCATGTCACATCCAGTGGGCTCCAGCCCGAGATCACAGCCCCTCCTGTTTATTGCCAATCTCTAGGCTGGACCAAAGCAAACCCTCTGACTAGGCCCCTGCACAGGGCAGCCTGGAAACGATGTTTCCAGGTGAGGAAACAAACTGCTTGACTGGAGTCTAGCTGGGCTCTAAGGCCGCGGCCTGCCTCTGCACCCAGTCCGGGTTGGCTCCACCATGCCTGCAGCTCCAGAGCCTCAATAACAGGAATTTAACTCTGGAGTAGAGCAGATAGCTACATACCAGAGAAAAGCCCAGGTCCCCTGTCCATGGAACATTTGTCTGAAGCATTCCTGCCACCCAGTGGTGATAATGAGACTTGCAGCTGCCCCAGAGCAGGCCAAGGTCACTTAACCTCTACTGGAAAGGGGGCCTGAATCCTTCTCCCGGCGGCAAGATGCAGCCCTGTACACGCATGCCCCTGCCTCCCCTCTGCCACACTCCACCCCCCAAACCTTTCTCAGAGACAAAAAGCACCACCACCACTCCTTCCCCAGGAAGGAGTCAATGTTAGGCTGGACTAGGGAAGTCCCTTTTCTCTATCAAAAACCACACTGGCTCTGAACCTGCTCTCAAGACCCTACCTATATGCAGCTGCCTCTTGGACTTATCCTACTGGAGGTCCCACATACACCTCAAACTGAATACGTTTGGGTGATGGGTGTTAACCGGACTTACTGTGGTGATCATTTTGCAATATATACAAATATGAACCACGCTGTACACCTGAAATTAACAGATTAATCGATTATATCTCAATAAAAAATATACATGTGTTCGGTACTGAGCTCATCACCTTCCCTCAAACTCCTATCTCTTCCAGTTCAGTTCTCAGTCAATGTCACCATCAGACAACACAGGTGCCTAAGACAGAATCCTAGAAAGCATTTCTAATTCCCATCTTTAACCTTGACCCCACCCCTTCCACAAATCCGTGGCTTTTTCAACTCCAGAATCTCGATCTCCACAGCCAGATCTCAGTCTAGACCACCACTACCACTGTCTGAATCAGAAAAACCTCCTTCCTACTGGTCTCTCTTCCTCTATTCAATCCTCCTCCAAACAATTCTCTGTCAGCAGCCAAGATGTGATCTCTCTGACCACTGCTACTTAGAGAACAGCCTGCAGACCTGTGCTGTTTGCAAACTGGTCTCACTAGTCTATGTAAGGATGGAAACTGGAAGCTGGCATTTATACTGGAAACCTTTATAACAATTTCACAGAAATCACATGCTACCGAACCTAGTATGAAGAAACATGGACTTGTATTTTGTCTTTTCTTATAATTTTACTATCTTTATCAGACTGACAGATTGTAAATATTTTCTTAAAATCCTTCATCACAGATAATTTGAGAAGCACTCTTCTAGAATACGTATCCATCATGTCACCCAACCACCTCTTACTAAACCCCTCAAAGGTTCTCCACTAAACTAAGATATAAGTGCCTTCCAGATAAGTCATAAACTCCTCAAGAACAAGCACTGTCTGGTTCATTTCCTATCTTTGGCGTTCAGCACAGGGGCAGGCACACTAAGTATCAATGAATATTTACAGAATCTACCAATGAGCACATCTGTAGGTGACCTGGCCCCTCTTGGCAGCCCGTCCCTCATGCATTCAAAGTTCCAAACAAATGCCCCACAATGTCAGGAACATACTAGGCTCTCCCCCCTCAGCCTTTGCTGTTCTTGCCTGAAATGCATCCCCAGTTCCACATTCCTTCCTCTATGTTAGATAACTTCTCATCCTTTTGATCTCTTCCTCTAGGAAGTCCCTCTCATTTCCCAGGCTTGGTTAAGTATTGGAATGGATTTCAATTCCATTTAATTAAAAAAAGAAAAAAGAAAAAAAAAAAACCCAACCCTGCAGGAACTGTGTACACAGGCCGGCTCCCAAGGGGCTCACAGTCAAGTGAGAGAGACATTCATTCATTCAAAAAATATTTATCACAGGCCCGCTAGACCTATGCTGGGAACATAGTGCTGAGTAAGATAGACAGTGGCCTTACCTTCTCAGCGCTCACAGTTCAGCTGAAAAAAACACTTTAGTCCAGCGTGGAGAGTTTGATGACAAAGGTATGCCTGGGGTGTAGTGAGTGACACCTGACCCAGCCTGGGGACAAGTGTTGGTCAGAGAAGAGGTCACGGGAGACAATAAGGTTACTTTGAAAGAGAACAGTGAAATGACCATGATTCTCTTTTACAAAGACCACTCTTACAGCACTTGGGACAGACAGGGTGAAACAAGAGCCTGAGAGACCTGCTGAGGTCGGAGATAATCCAGGTGAGAAGTGAAGAGG